TTAGAAGCCCCCACGTACTGGAGAAAAAGAGGAGTTGATTGTAAGGAATTGGTTTGCCATTTTGCTGCCAATTTCTACTTCCCTGACCCCGGCAGTGAGCTAGAACCTTGGGCCGTCTTGTGTCCAAGTGCTGGTCAGCCAGGCGGGACTGGAGACCTGGGAAAGGTGGCTGGGTCAGTCTTCCATCCCAGTCAGGCTGGGCCGGGACCCACCCAGACTGACCAGACTCTGCCTCCAAGCAGGACACCTTCACGGGGCAGGGGGACGCCAGCCCGTCTCTCACCCATGAGCCGGCTTGGTCGTGCCCTACACCGGGGGCATGGCCCCAGGTCCCCCTGAAATTGCTAGGTTTCTGGAGTGGGCGATACCTCGGTTCTTTGCTTCGCAGGCTGAAGTGAGTTTTGTGATCCAAGTGAGTTTTTATGAAGGAACAGAGAAGTTTCAGGTTTTACAGTCTCAGAAGGGTACCCGCTATTTCTGGAAAGCCTGCCAAGCCGCGCGGAAGCCAAGCTGGGTTTCACAACTGGGCACAAAAATCCACGTGGAAAAAACCACCCGCACGTGTGGAACTGGGGAATCACTGGGGACCAAGAGAGTGAGTGAGCAAGAGTCCAAGAGCCCCCCAAGTAGGCCCGGAGCAGGTCCTGAGGGGGCACGCCCGGGCCAGAGCCAAAGAGAGCTGGCCTTCCCACAGCAGGGGTATTTAACACCCTGGCCACGGAGGCGTGGTTGAAGGTATTGGTTGGCCCCATTGGCTGGGTTCAAGACCACCTGTGTGATGTCCCTAAGGTAGGTGTGCCCAGGCATTGGTTTCACCTGTGCTAGGGGGTCCTATCTGTGCACACTCCGTTTGGCTCTTCCCATCGGTGCCCAGTGGCTGCCGGACTTATTTCCAGCCCCTCTGGGGGCCTTTACAGGCATTGGGGAGCCCACCCCACTTACCCCTAACTCTAGCTACCTAGTAAAAGCGCTGTGAAAGGCTGGACCCTCCGTGAGATTGCCTCACACACTTTCTTGGGGTCGCTGAAGAGCTGATAGATGGAGTCGAACCTGTGGGCTGCAGCTGTGTTGTGCAAAACCATTGGAGCATGGGGTCAGACTGGCCTTTGGCACCTACGCCTCGCTTAACGACTGCCTTGTCTGACTTCACCTGGATAACGAGGGAAAAACGCTATGAGCTGACTGAGCAGTGTACGCCTGGCAGTATTGGCGGCCGGGGGTGGGGGGGGTGGACAACACCAGCCGTGATGGTGGCGGTTCTGTGTCCACTTGGTGGGGCCGTGAAGCGCAGTGGTTTGGGCAGTAGGGGGTGACATCATCTGGCAGTTGGGTTAGGACGTAACCTGGCAGTTGTGTGATGGCGTCATCACACATGAGCTGATGTGGGCAGCCTCCGTTTTTACATCGCACCAATTTTTGCACAAGGACCTGATCCACGGGACCGACGCTTATTCATAAGGGAGGTACCGGTGTGTTTATTTGTTGTTGACCATGCGTAGGAAGGCATTTTCGCTGGTTGTGGTGGGCTTGGGGGTGTTGGGTTGTTTCCTTCCCCAACCCTCCTTGCTGCCAGGAGGCTGATTCCGTCACCACCACCCTCTTAGAGCTACATTGTCTCTATCTCTCCCCTTTGTGCATTGTGCTTCCATCTGAAAACGTGAGCGGCCCAGTTACGGAGCGAGCGCGCTCTGCGCGGGCATTGTGTCACCGGAGAGCGGGTCCGGCTGGGCCCGTCCTGTGCGGCGTCTCGGAGAATAGACGTGTTGTTTTCTCCCTGGTGGCGCCTCTCCCCCTGCCCCGGGAACAGGACGTGGCGAGGAGGTAAGCCCATGAGTCAGCCTCGCAAGTAAGTGCTTGGCCTCCTGCAGACAAACAGCTTTTTTGTTTGGGATCACGGGACCTTTCAGTACGCTTTCCATATCGGATGGCTCTTGTGTTTCCAAGCAGGAGGGGGAGCCAGCGAGGTGAGTACTTTGGGGCTCCAGTCAGATTGACATCCAAGTGAGGTGTTACTGCGTGGTTCTTGGGAGTGGAGATGCCTGGTGGCCCTGTGGTTTAGGTGTGGGGCTGCTCACCAAAAGGCCAGCGGTTTGAACCCAGCAACCGCTCCTCTGGAGAAAGATGAGGCTGTGTGCTGCCATCCGGAGTTCCAGTCTTGGAAACCCACAGGGGCCACTCTACCCTGAGTCTCTGTGAGAGAGGGGTGGGGAGGGGGGAGGAATACCAGGCCTCGGTTAGCAAGGTCAGAAAGGCAGGGCTCTGTTTTAAGGGAGCAGGGCGAGGTGTGGAGGAAGCGGGGCCACCTGGCTTGTCTAGGGGACTTGTCCTGCAGCAGCCAGGACACACACAGCTGTCCGGACATCTCATCAAGGTCACAGCTCCTGGCGGCTCTGTATCCAGCTAGTGGGCCCCTGAGCTCCCGCAGGAGAAAGCCTTTTGTCCTCACGTCTGTCCTCCGCTGGGTCCCCATGTCATGAAAACGGTGCCTTCTGCATCAGCAGAGGAGCCCTGACCTCCTTTATCAGACGCCCGAGGTTACAAAGACAGCCCGTGTTCGGTCTGCATGAATGAGTTGGTAACAGTAGCCAACCACCAGCCATTTCCCTGCTCCCAAGCCGATGCGGACACACAGTGACCCTCTCAGGCAGACTAGAGCTGCTCCTGGGTTTGAACTCCCAAGCTTGCAGTTAGCAGCCTAATGTGTAACCCACGACGCCACCGGGGCTCCACCAAACTGGCCCTGACTCCCGGTGACCATGCGCGTCAGAGTAGAACTGTGCCAATTCGGTGGTGGAATGTTTTGTTTTGTTTTTCTCAATGAAAGGCTGCCAGGCCTTTCTTCCGAGCCGCCGCGAGCTGGGCGTGAATCCTCCAGCATGGCAATTGGCAGCCAACCCTGGTAAGCCCTTGCACTACCCAGGGCTCAGGGCAGAAGGGACCCTCAGAGCACAGGCCCGCTGACCCACGCCACGGTCTGTCCCTAGGGGTGCGGGCTCCAGAGAGGGACCTCAGGCATGGTTTCACTGGGCCTGGCACAGCCTCGAAGCAGCATTCCCGCTTTGCCCAAGAGGCGCCCGCCCCACCTTGGGGACCCGAGACCTATTTTTACATCCCTGGGAATGTTTCCTTTGGAAAGACCACCCCACCCCACCCCCCACTTAAAGGCCCTCCCTCCCAGAAGTGTGGGCAGCGCTGACCCATCTGGGCTGGTTGACAGCTGGCGTGGAGACAGGCCTCCTCGTGGGAACAGTGGTGGGGACATGGGGACGGGTACAGATGGTCTGTACCTCCCAGTGGCCCTAGAGGTCCTGGGTGGCATTTTCTAAAGCGGTTCATTTTCTAAATGGTGCCAACTCCCCAGCGAGGACAAGGTCTGTCGTCTTGCAGATGGAGGAGGAGAGTGCTTGAGGGTCTCCACTCCAGGCACAACTGTGGATTCCTGACTCGCTCTCAAGGTGAATGTGTCCGGAAGCAGGTGCCCGGCTTTGCCCTGGGGAGCGGTAGGTGGGCACTAACCGTGGACAGCCAAACACTGCTCCCCTGTGCCCCCAGGCCAGCGGTAGCAACGATAAACACGTCTGTCTCTCCTTCCCATCCGACGGACGCAGCACGCCCTCTCTTCCCCTCCATAGCCTGCTGACTCTTGATTTCAGAAGTATTTTCTCACCTGAATGGAAACTTGACCCTCCCATGAGTGTCTGCGCTGTAATTCACCAAACCCAAACTGCAGGCCCTTGGCCGTTAAACCGTGGGGCAGTGAGCAGATTGGTGGCTAAGCCCGTTTTGTTTTTCACCCTTTGCCCCCAGTGGATATTTTTAGAGGCAAGCTTGCTGGGTCAGAAACTAGAAACAGAAACGTTTAAAGTACGCAGTAGTAACCACGGCGAAGGCGTTGGAACGTTTCTGCCAAACGGATTTCTTTCCAACGGGAGCCAGTTCCCCTGCGACCCCAGTCGGGGTATTGGTCCTTCTCGAATTCTCTCCGCATCTTCTTAGTGATGTCTCTGAAGAGACCCCTCGAGCTGGACCACGAACCCCCCCACCCCCAGGGTTTGTCATTTCTGTCCTGTGTTTTGCCGGAAACCTACCTTGCGGCGGCCTCCTGGCTGCCAGTGATCTCGCTTTGCAGTGCCTGGTCGGCACACGGCTGGGTCTCTGTGTTTCTTGGGAGTGGGTGATTCACTTACCTGA